CTAGCGTCCATGAAGATGATGGAATTCTATCACAACCATCTTGCGACTCAACTGGCTACAAAGGAGGGTGAGCTGAAGGATGTACAGGTCGTTGCTGACGTCGTCGAGGTAGGGAATGGCATTGCTGAGGGGAAGGTGGCTGTTGTGGTTGCCGAGGTGGTTGAGCTAAAGAGGATCTACGACGACCTGAACACCCATTATCAGGATTCTGCAAAGATAACAGATGCCCAACTGAAGGCCAAGGATGATGAGTTGAAGGCAAAAGATGCTGAGGCGGTGACCCTAAAGGGGATGATTGATGAGCTCCTTAAGAATGGTGCATCCACCTTCGTGAAAGGGTTTATAAACTTTCAAGACCAAGCTGAGAAAACATATCCCGACCTAGACCTAGACTCCTTTATTCCACAACTTGAGGCGTTAAAGCTAGTGGGCGTGGCTACAAGAGCCATTGCCAAGTCAGTTGATGCGGGTGAGGGTGTCTCTACTAAGCCTATGGACAAGGAAGCTGCTACTGAGGTGGCTGGTGATGCTGGGGAGTCGGCCACATGAATTTTTTTCCTAGATGATGTTATCTTTCCTTTGTTGTAATTAACTTTTTGTACTTAACTCTTCCTTCCTGTGTACTGCCCTTATATTTTCGATGAAAGACTTAGCATATTTTCTTGCTTGTTAACTCCTTCTTTCTTGTTTTCTCCTTTTCTCTCTTTTTTTTAGTGGATAGTGTGGCTTACCATGGGCTGCACCTGACCTGGCCCATTGCTAAAGTGGTGCCCCCTATTGTACTGTGATTACACTGTCTCGCCGAAAATCATCTGGACCTTTGTAGAGTCGGGGCTGCCCCTTTCACGAGATGTTTCGCCTTGTCGGGGTTATTTTAGACTTTTTTCATTCCTTTTTGTGTACTCTAAACTTGAAGGTTTCGTTCAGTTGGGAACGTGCGCTACTAGTGGTGACAGAACCTCCTTAAAAGTAGCGCCCATTTATCCCATATTTGCCATGTGTCTGTGGCATTAAATGTGATAGACGCACATTAATAGCACCGTACAGATGTGATGTGCACCGCATGCAACTCTTATAAATAGATCTTTCTGCTTGTAAACCTTTTACATTGGTGTTGGAGTCTTTCATTGTTGCTTATGGTTCTTACTTTAGGTTTTCTCTCCTTTAATTTATCTCACATCCTATTTCCATAGTGCGAACACTAACTCGATCTGAAATGTGTACACCCAAGTGCAGGTGATTAAGTTGTAGTTATAATCCGGTTAAGTCTGGAGTTGAATTCCACGGGCAACTAATGTTGATGTTTTGCAGTTGTAAGTGATAAAGACCAAAGTGAATGTAACCCTTGAGGTTTGGAGTTATGATGATTATAAAATTTTCTAGACAAAATAAAAGATTCTTTTCAATGAAAAAGACACCCTTTAGCTCAAGGATCTGGACATGTAGTTGTTCATCCGGTTGTTATATCTATGTTTTGTAAATAATTAATTAACCCCTAAGTCAATAGTAAGTTAATCGGATAATAAAGATGGACTGTATGAATTAAGAGCATGGCTCCGACGTATTTGTAGAGATTTGCAAGAATTGTTAGTGCCGGGACTTAACCCGTCTACAAACAAGCAAGCAAACTTACAAATCATCCAGCAACTATTAAATTACTCCATTCTTAGTTAAAGCATAATGACAACGAGGATTGAGAAGTTGTCATGAAGATCTAACTTAAGTACTTGCAAAGAACTAGTGAATTCTCCTTTGTCAAGAGTTAACTTGTCTATAAGAGATTCATGGTTGTATANGAAAATCATCTGGACCTTTGTAGAGTCGGGGCTGCCCCTTTCACGAGATGTTTCGCCTTGTCGGGGTTATTTTAGACTTTTTTCATTCCTTTTTGTGTACTCTAAACTTGAAGGTTTCGTTCAGTTGGGAACGTGCGCTACTAGTGGTGACAGAACCTCCTTAAAAGTAGCGCCCATTTATCCCATATTTGCCATGTGTCTGTGGCATTAAATGTGATAGACGCACATTAATAGCACCGTACAGATGTGATGTGCACCGCATGCAACTCTTATAAATAGATCTTTCTGCTTGTAAACCTTTTACATTGGTGTTGGAGTCTTTCATTGTTGCTTATGGTTCTTACTTTAGGTTTTCTCTCCTTTAATTTATCTCACATCCTATTTCCATAGTGCGAACACTAACTCGATCTGAAATGTGTACACCCAAGTGCAGGTGATTAAGTTGTAGTTATAATCCGGTTAAGTCTGGAGTTGAATTCCACGGGCAACTAATGTTGATGTTTTGCAGTTGTAAGTGATAAAGACCAAAGTGAATGTAACCCTTGAGGTTTGGAGTTATGATGATTATAAAATTTTCTAGACAAAATAAAAGATTCTTTTCAATGAAAAAGACACCCTTTAGCTCAAGGATCTGGACATGTAGTTGTTCATCCGGTTGTTATATCTATGTTTTGTAAATAATTAATTAACCCCTAAGTCAATAGTAAGTTAATCGGATAATAAAGATGGACTGTATGAATTAAGAGCATGGCTCCGACGTATTTGTAGAGATTTGCAAGAATTGTTAGTGCCGGGACTTAACCCGTCTACAAACAAGCAAGCAAACTTACAAATCATCCAGCAACTATTAAATTACTCCATTCTTAGTTAAAGCATAATGACAACGAGGATTGAGAAGTTGTCATGAAGATCTAACTTAAGTACTTGCAAAGAACTAGTGAATTCTCCTTTGTCAAGAGTTAACTTGTCTATAAGAGATTCATGGTTGTATAAAGTACTTTAGCTTTGCTAGATACATTCAATCATTCAAAAAGCAATAGAAAGATAAATCATTAAGCATATATGAAAAGCACAAATATAACTTCCAAACAATAGTACACATGTTCATCACCTCTCACTAAAGAGTGAATGAGAAACTACTCACTCTTCATGACTTTGAGAACACTAGGAAAGTGAGTGATTTTCATCCCTCCAAGTAAAGGAACTTTTAATTACAAGTTAACATTTACCAAAATAATTAGCCTATCTTCGACAAAGAATGAGTGAAATACTACTCACCCTTCAAAGCTACAAGAGAACTACAAAGGTGAGAGAGGTTCAATCCTCTAAGTGAAGAAAGAAGCTATACAAAGGAAACTAATGATGAAAGTAGAAGAAAACTAGTTATTCTTGGAGGGTTTTCCACTTCCAATAGATGATTTTTCACAAGTTCCAATGGATGATATTTATAGACAAGTGAGGGGGTAAAAGGACAGCCTAGGTGCTTAAAGTCCAAGCTTATGTCCCAAAATTCAGGTGGAGATCAAGTCTGCCTGCAGCTTGTTTGGGATGTACGTTCGAACATTACATGGAGTTCGAACATGGAATCATTTCTTCTTTGAAGGGCGTTCGAATGATGTTGGAGTTCGAACGTGGTACTCATGTAGCTTTTGTCATCCACAGTGACTACCTGCAACAAGCCTCGTGTTACCACCCTAGCAATCTCCTGAAGATCTTCAAAGATTTTAAGATGGTGTTCAAACTTTGACTGGCATTCGAACATGGAAGCTTTGTTTCCTCTTTCATCAATTCTTCTTTAGAACACATGTATGCTTCTTAAAAGTTTGATGTTGTTGCCTTTAAGCCCTTGTACTTTATTTCTCCTAAAATTTTATCATTTAAACTCTATCAAAGCATAATTAATCTCATTAAGGCATATTAAGATGTTACTTTTAACTATGCATCAAACACCCACCTTCTACCAGTGATCCCTTTGGTGCTGCTCTACCGTCCAGCTAACCCTGAAACCTCTTGTTGCTTTTGTCGCTGTTGTTTTGTTTTTCTCCCCCTCTTTTTTTTTCTTGTAAAGTGTAACCCTTTTTATTTACTGAAATGAAAAACACTTTAACTCTCTCCTGGTGTTGCTAGTTACATGTTGTGTTCCTCCTTTGCCCCCTACTCAAAGGAGGTCTTGACCTGGTTAAAGTACGGTTGCTGCTTAGTTGTTCCCTTGCCCCATACTCCATGAAAGTCTTGACCTAATCAATATGATCTCGTGATGGGTAGTCCTGAGCTACGCGAGCTCGAGCAACTCATATCTGGGCTTTTAAACTTTTGCCACCTCTGCTCAACTATTCTATTTTGATGTTGTGGTACGCTCTTAGATCGAAGTGAACGGGTTCAGTGGAGAAAGTAATAATTGTGTCGTTATTTGTGCCCACCTAACTTCCCATGGCGCCACCTTCGTTAACTTCTCTCATGAAGTTTCTTCATTATAGGAGTGTAACTTGCTACTCTTTGCATTCTCACCTTTCCTTAGCACTTGCTTTACAATGTCATGGTTTCCTCTCCTATGTCATTGTTTAAGCAGCGTGCTCATGCCATGATGGAGATTCCAGGTATTCCGTATTTCTACTCCCTACTAAGATCACTATGGCTGAGGTGGAGGAAGTCATGAGGCAATACTTTCTTCTTGCTGGCTTAACCATTTGGATTCCCTCCCCTGACGAACCCTAAAACCTTCTTCTTTAGAGGGAGGTTTGTATTTTTAAGGGCTTGTTTGAGATGGGTCTTCATTTTCCCATTCACCCAGCCATAAGGCGGATTCTTACCTTCTTTGGGTTGTGCCCTTCACGCCTCTCCCTAGAGGGATGGGGCACTCTTATGAGCTTCTTCATTCTCTGATGCTTGCAAGGCTACAATCATTTTTTCATTGTCACCGAGTTTCTTTATTTTTTTGACTTAGATTTTGACATGCCCCTACTATTGTCACTTCACATAGGGGCGTCATATCTCGATGTTGGTTCTTGACACCCCTGACTCCTTTGAGGGATGGCTCCAGTGTTTTTTCTTTATTTTTGGGGATTCTTGGGAGTCCGCTGAGGCATGGTCTAAACGTTCCTGGGTTCTTTGCTCCTAGGGGCGTCTTCTAGACAGAGATAAATGAGTAGTCACTTTTGGTTGGTAACTTTTATTTCGAGTCTGAATAATATTTGTGTTATACAGATGACCCCAGTCTGACTCCGAATGAGATCCTTAGGGTATGTCGGCTTACTTGTGTTGAGGCAGCCCCCTTCTCTAATCTTGTTACATCTCAGAACTTCTTTCGATTCGAGATTGGCCCCAACTTGGCTATCGTTCTAGTTGTTATTCTAAACCCTCCTCCTCCTATTATCGGTGTAGACTTCTTCTCCACTAGGTTGGATGAGGATACTATCACTTCTCCAAGGGGAAAAAAGAAACACCGACAAGGCAGGCCGTCCCTGCCATCGTCGAATTCTTCATCTGGCAAGTTGAGGTTTACGTCTATTGAACTGGAATTTGCATTGGGGAAAGAAAGGATAAAAAAATAGCTCACTGAGGCTGAGAAAGAGCAAGACAAGCTAAAGACCAAGAACGCTCACCTACGGGTCGTGAATGCGCAGTTGGAGAAGGAAGTCTCTGAGCTGAAGTAAAGATTTGGGGAGGCATAGACTAGTTTTTGTTTTCTTCTTGTAAATTTGTTGCTTTTCTAAATTTAACTTGGCTATTTCCTTTAATGTCTTGTTCATTCTTTTGTCCATTGTCAACTTTAACCGAATAGTTGTTTGGCCTCGAGCTCTACTTGACTTAGTCCTTCAAATGGTTGAAAGCCATGGATTCTTAAGGACCGATTTGAAAAGCTCTTAGGCTGAAGAACTCCGTAGAGGCCATGGATTCTTAAGGACCGATTTGAAAAGCTCACGCGGTTGAGGAGCTCGTAGCTTTGAAGAGTTGAAGAACTCCGTAGAGGCTGAAAAGACGAGTTGAGAGGCTCTCAAGCTGAAGAGTCTAGGCTGACTCGCGTGGCTAAGAAGCTCACAACTTCTAAGCTGATGGGGAGTTAAAGAACTCCGTAGTGGCTGAAAAGCCAAGCTAAAAGGCTCTCAGACTAAAGAGCCTTGGACAAGTCGAGTGACTGAGGAACTTGTGGCTTTCGAGCTAAAAATCTCTTAGGCTGAAAAGCCAAATTGAGGTCGCTTGGCTGAAGAGCTCATGACTTTAGGGAGTTAAAAAACTCTGTAGCGGCTAAAAATTCGAGCTAAGAGACTCTCAAGCTAAAGAGCCCAAGTCGAGTCGCGCAACTAAGGAGCTCGCGGCTTCCGAGCTAAAAAGTTCTTAGGCTAAAAAGGCCAGTCGAGGTCACACGGCTGAAAAACTCACAACTTTGGAGAGTTGAAGAACTTTGTAGTGGCTAAAAAGTTGAGCTGAGAGGCTTTCAGTTGAAGAGCTTGGGGTAAGTCACGTTGTTGAGGAGCTCGTGACTTCCAAGTTGAAAAGCTCTTAGGCTAAAAAACTCAATCGAGGTCACGCGGCTGATGAGCTCGCGACTTTGGGGAGTTGAAGAACTCTGTAGATCATACACTGGACAAGTTTACTTGGTCAGAATTTCAAATTTCATTGATTGGGGATTTGAAAATTTACATTTGGCTTTCCTCCCTTTGCTATATCTAGCTGCTCAGGATCTTACTGGTAATACTATTTCAAATGATTTGCATTCCAGGAATACTGCAGATCCTTTCCCTCTTCAATTTGTAGCTCGTAGTTGCCAGGTCGGATCACCCTTTTCACGATGTATAGCCTTTCCCAATTTGGGCCAAGTTTTTCATGCGATGGATCTTTTCTTGTCGGGAGTAGTTTCTTGAGGACCAAGTTGCCTAGTTTGAAGCTTCTCTTCCTTACTTGTCGGTTGTAATATCTTGCAGTGTTCATTTGGTAAGAGAAAATCTATAGCAGAGTGCTTCGTTTCTTTTCTCGTCTAAGAGATCGAGGTTGACTAGCAGAGACCTTTCATTCTGCTTGGGATCAAAGAGCTCGGCTCTCATTGAAGGTAGCTTGACTTCGACTGGGGCCACAACTTCAATCCCATATGCAAGGCTGAATGGGGTTTCATTAGTTGTTGTTCGCACAATGGTCTGATAGGCCCACAACAGTGACAACACTACTGGATGGTGATCGACCCACTAGGACTTAGAAGCTTTTAGTCGTGTCTTTAGCGTAAGCTTCATGGTTCTGATGTTAACCTCGGCTTGCCCGTTTGACCGTGGGTGCACAGGTGCCGATAAGTAATTTTTGATTCTCAACTCTGCGCAGAACCCTGTGAACCCTGTATTGTTAAATTGCTTCCCATTATCTGAAACTACTACTTAGGGGATGTCAAAATGGCAGATTATCTACTTCCAAACAAAATTCTTGACTTTCTGGTCAATTATTTTAGCCAATGCCTCTCCCTCTGCCCATTTGGTGAAGTAGCCCACCGCGACTATGACAAACTTACACTGTCTGACACCAATTGGTAGAGGCCCCAAAATGTATAGCCCCCACTACTAAAAAGGCCAAGGGCTAACAACCGGCGTGAACTATTCAGGGGGACAATGAGGTAGGTTCCTGTGGATCTAGCATGCTTGATATTTCTTCACCATCTTTTTCGCATCCTTGCCCATTATGGGCCAGAAGTACCCCTTTCGGAGTGCCTTGCTGGCCAAGGTTCGTGCACCAACGTGATTCCCACAAATGCCCTCATGAATCTCTCTTAAGATATAATCTGCTTCCATCTCAGTGACACATTTCATTAGAGGAAAGAAAAACCTCATTTGTATAGCTTACCTTGCACCATGGTGAACTTCGTAACCTTGCTCTTTAGCTTTATTGCCTCCTTCTTATCACGTGGGAGGAGTATTTCCTTCATAAAAGAAATGATAGGGTTCATCCATGAGATGGTCTCGTCAACTGGCATGGCTTGACCATCGTCGAGTTGGACGTTTGGCTCAAGTAAGACCTCAACAAGCGTCGTGCCTGACAAGTCTTGTTGGGCTATGACAGCCAGCTTAACTAATGCATCGGCTCGAGCGCTAGCTTCTCAAGGCACCTAAAAAAGCTCGGCTACTACAAATCTCCTCAATCGGCTTCATACCTTTCTCATAGACAGAGTTATCTTATCGTATCGGGCTGCGAATTCTTCTTCTACATGCCTGACCGCCAACTGAGTATCACTATGGATAATGATCTACTACGTATCCATTGACAATGTTAAGTTGAGGTCGGCTATAAGGGCCTCGTACTCTGCCTCGTTGTTGGACACTTGAAAGTTGAACCTCAGTGCATATTCCATGTTGTACCCTTTTGGTGAGGTCAGAATCAGGCCAGCTCCGTTCCCTTGCGCATTTGAGGCACCTTCTTCATATAATTTCCACATTGGAACGTCGATGATGCAATCCAGATTTTCTAGTTGTTCTTCAGATACTGGGGTAAACTCTGCTAGGAAGTCTGCGAGTACTTGACCTTTGATTGTTGTCCCTGGTTTGAATTTGATATCAAATTTGCTGATCTCCGTAGCCCATTTTACCAACCTTCCAGATGCCTCGGGTTTATGTAAGACTTGCCTCATCGGTTGATCGGTTGGAACTTCAATGGTGTGAACCTAAAAATAAGGTCTCAGTCTTCTTGCGGCCATGAAAAGGGTAAGGATGAATTTCTCCATCTTTGGGTATCTCTCTTCGGCCCCTCTAAGAGCCTTGCTGCAAAAGTAGACCAGCTGCTGAGCCCTTTCTTTGTCCTTAACCAAGGTGGCACTAACTAAGAAATTAGATACAACCAAGTACAAGGTCAGGACCTCTCTTTCTTGTGGGCTAACTAGCACTAGTGGTGAGGTCATGTATTTCTTCAGGGCTTGGAAGGCTTCCTTACATTTCTCATCCCATTAGAAAGTAGCCTTCAGAACCTTGAAGAACGGATGTCACATGTCACTGGAGCGCAAGACAAATCAATTGAGTGCCATGATTCTCTCGGTGAGGCACTGTACTTCCCGGGTGTTAATAGAGACTTTATTTCTAAAACAACTTTTACCTTCTTGGGGTTTGTCTCAATACCTTGACTGTTGACTATGAACCCTAGAAATTTCCATACTGAGACTCCGAAAGCACACTTAGCTAGATTCAGCTTCATCTTATACTGGAGCATAATCTCGAACAATTCCTTGAGATGCTGGATGTGGAGCTCGGACTTAAGAGATTTGACCAGCATATCATCGATGTATATCTCCATTGTTGACCTGAGCTTCTCATGGAACATTCGATTGACCAACCTTTGATAAGGTGCTCTAGCATTCTTCAACCCAAATGACATGACCTGGTAATAGAAGATTCCATGTTCTATAACGAAAGAGGTTTTTTCCTAGTCGTTGGGGTCCATCTTAATCTGGTTATACCCTAAAAAAGCATCTATGAAACTGAGAAGCTCATGCCCTTCCATGGCATCGACTATTAGGTCGATCCTAGGCAAAGAGAAATTGTCCTTGGGGCACGCGCGGTTCAAGTCTGTGAAGTTAATGCATAGCCTCCACTTTCCATTGACCTTCTTGACCAGCACCACGTTGGCTAACCATGTTGAGTAGTCAACTTCCTTGATGGCCTTTGGTCGTAGCAGTTTAGCCATTTCTTTGTTGATCGCCTTTTGCCTTTGGGGGCATAACTCCTTCTTTTTTGCCTGACCAGCTTGCAATTTGGATTGACACTGAGTTGATGCACTATCACTCCAAGATCAATCTCCTCCATATCCTCTTGTCTCCAGATAATCGACATTCTCTTTTAAGAAAAGTGTGAGTTTGTCTTTGATATCCTAGAGCAACATCGAGCCTACAAAGACCACTTGCCTAGGGTCCTCATTGATCTGCACTGGCTCTAGCTGCTCCCATGGTGTAGGTCGAGTTTCAAGCTCGTTTCTTATATCAAGGTATTCTAGTTGAACATATTCTAATTTTTTTCCCACATGGACGCCATGTAACATTCTTTAGCGAGGCGCTGATCTCCCCTCACCACCCCAACTCCATTCTCTGTAGGGAATTTCATGTCCAGGTGGTATACTGATGGAACGGTGCTAATTGAGTTGAGAGAGGGCCTTCTAAGCAAGATGTAAGCAGAAAAGGGGGCATCAACTACCAAGAAACGAATTGTGGTGGTGATCTGGCAGGGAGGGTCTCCCATGGTAAGAATGAGTTGTATGGCCTCCACGAGTAGGACTCTCTCCCCCGAGAAGCCCAAGAGATGAGTCTTCACGGGTTTGAGTTTTGACTTGTCTATGCCGAGTTGATCAAAGGCCGAGAGGAAAATGATATTAGTTAAGCTTTTGTTGTCGATGAGCACACGGTGTACCACCTTAATGGCGATGATGGCCTTGATGGCCAAAGGATCGTCGTGAGGGTGTTAACATCCTTCCAGCTCTGCGTCTGAATAGGTCATCTCCATATCTTTGCGCAGGGCTTTTCGAATTGCTTGAATATCAAGAAAATCATCAGATTTGGCCCTCATGGGGTATGCACGTCTTGCAGAGATTGACT